AAAAAAATATTAAAAATGTTACATACCCCATGTCCTCGTTTTTTAAAAACTTGTTTTGCCTCTTCAGGGCGCACACCTGACGTCCATTCCATTCTGTTTTGTTAGGAATGAATGAGAGAGCCATGGAAATAGTTGAACACATAAAATAATCCAGCAGCTGCATTGCAAGTCGCCTCTCACCCCCCCCCCCCCTCCCCCCTCGTTGACTGCCCAGGCTTCTTCCCAATGCAACCGCAACTATGAGCGTCTACGGTGCGTCGTCACCAAACAGTGAAGATGCCTTTTATGTTTCCTTTGCCGTCTTCGCCTCTGGTTCATTTATGCCGTAAAACACTGCGTCTCCCTTCTCCCTACTTACTCCCCCCCCCCACCCCCTTCTCCCTACTTACTCCCCCCCCCCTTCTCCCCTCATGTTTTTTTTTTTTTTTACCTTCCACGTTGGCTTGGGTGCATGTGGAGGGTGGGGTAGATGGAAACTCGCCACGGTCCCTTTAGCCGCAGGTTCATCCAGCTCAACCTCCTGCATCTCAGCGGATATGCTACGGTCGATATTTATCAGCACGTCAGCGTAAACTGCAAGATGCTGCATTGACGCATGGAACTCCGCTTCAGATATGCGGTATTGCTCGCTGCAATGCCTAAACCGCTCCTGGAGGCGATCCTCAAGTTGCATGAGGGTTGTCTCAGCCCTGCCCAGCTCCGACAACTCCTGCTCCAAGGCGTCAATTTGCGTAGCCGCGTCGTAATCGGTGCTGCTAGACAAGATACGTGTGTTTTGTAAACACCCTTGCAAAATATCAATACTTTCCTTTACGCGATCCAGTTCTTGTAGGAGATGGTATTCGCGATACATGAGATGTTTGCGCTCCGCCTCCTCGTCCTTTTCTGCTTCATCCTGTTGCTGCTGCTTTCCCTCCTGCAACGTGTCACCATAAGGTGCAGCCAGATGATGTCCTTCTTCTTCTTCTTCTTCGGACGGCGGCGTATCCTCCTTGATGCTAGAAACATGAAGTGACAGCTTACTCACATCTCCAATATCCGCTGCTGTATCTGGTGGCAAGGGTGAAGAAAATGAAACATCACTTCCATCCCTTCCTTCTTGCTCTTGTAGTAATGAGCACTCACTAGCCAAGGCAGCACCGCTCAAGGGCAGCGTATAGTTCCCCACGTCCTCACAAAGTGGAGGTTTCAAGCAACAGACGCCGTCGCATGAGGCTAAATTGCCACCATAAGCCAAAGTGGTGCTTGCATTATCGCTGCCTCCCTCTTCCACCCGAGAACTTGCGGAATCCTGCTCCAATGCTTGACTCAACGCCGCTGCTGTTACAGCGGCTGGCCCAGCGCCCAAAAGCGCGTGAGGTGGGGCACTTGGCACGTCGATAGATCCTGTTATTGCTTCTCCTGATGCGGGAAGTCGCTGCAACGACGAGTTTAGAGTGGCAACATTATGCGAACGCCCTAACGCAACGCCTACAGAGAAGCGTCTGTCGTTGTCCCCCACCTCGTCGCGAGCGTAGGACCGACAAGGGATCGTTACACGTCGAATATTCTGCTGAGCAACAGGCAGCCCTCTGACCTGCAAAACACCGGAAAGGATCCTGGGAGATTCGGGCTCCTCTAGCAGAAAGGGAATTTCCCTGATTTTCTCAGTCGAGTTCGTCTGCAGCTGCAACAAAGAGACAGTAAATATTGCGACTGGTGGCTCTCTGCCATTTTTTCCAGACTTCAGAAGCGAAATGGCAAATTCCAGTGATGCCAATGTCCGCAACGTCCCATGAAACAACAACTCCTGTAATGTTCCGCCCGTCCACATGACGGATCCCAGCTTGGATCGCAACGGATTGCTGCACATGTATACACTACTTGAAGATAGAAAATACCGTAGCTTGTACGCACCAGCCTCAATACCAGAAGCACGCACCTCTTTTAACTGGAGTCTGAAATCGCACATCTGTTCCATAGTAATACACACGGATAATCGCCCCAGCTTTGTGGGAGAGGAACCCGCATTCGGGGGCATCAGTGGAAGCTCGTACTGGGCGGTGACATTCTGTGCCAAAGACAACAAGTCTATTGAGGCGATTCCCACTACCAAACCAGCACTTGAATGGGCGTCTGGGGCATCTTGTTTTTCCGCTTCGTTAAAACACAGAATTTGGAGGCAGGCAGAGCGCTGATTAAGTGCTAAGGCAAGGTCTTCCCAGGTAGAAGCCCTAATACGATACTTGAAAGCGACCGACCTCTTTGCTGTGACGTGTTGCGGCGTAGGTGTCAAGTCAAGGTTGACCTCCTCACCATCAAACAAAACACGACAGGCAAACGTGCCGTTGAGCGGTGCCTCCACTCCTGACATCGGGGTATAGGTGAAGCAGGCGCGCTCCAAAACAACCCTGAAAAACCATACGCTCATGACGGGATCTCACTAACAGAGCCCAGACCTCCCCCCCCACAAGCAATTACCCCCTTCAATACGCATAGACCTTGCTAAGGCACAACAACGCAGAAAAAACATAACAGCTAGTGAGGTACAACTATAGATAATAAATACACACGCACACAAAGAAGGAGGACAGTCCAAACAAAGACAACGTCTGCCACTACATTTCTTTGAGCATTGAAGTTGAGTAACAAACCTGACACCGCTACCCAGTTACATGCCAATTTCGTTCACGGAGGTGGAGGTGGAGGCGGCTAACAGTTGAGGAACTGCCACCGCCTTCGCAGGTGACGCCGTGACAGACGACGGCCGTTGCGTGGAGGACTTCACCGTCGGAGGAGGCTGCGCATGTGCGACGCGCACAGATCCCAAACTAAACATAAACGATGGTGATTTTTGAATCCTCTCCTCCAAAACATGATTTCCACTTGAAGGCAACTTCAAATTGCATGAAGCTGCGGAGCCCAAACCGGGGGAAGGCGGCCGCAACACAAACTCTTTCTTCTGCTCATCTTTCGGTAGACACATTCTCACGTAAGGAAGGAGGTTCGGCCCCAGTGGTTGAGGACGCGGCAGTGCCTAACTGGGCCACACAATCACTGGGGGCAAGGGACCGCTCACGCAACTGATGGATAAGTGCGGAGGAAAGTCCTTGATTCTCCGGCAACGACCCGTCCTTGTCGTTTTCCCTTCCGTATTGGTCTATCTCGTTCGGTGTGACGGTGGGCCTCAGTAGCATGCCAAAAACCAAGAGGGCTCGCTGTGCCAACGCAAGATGTCTGAAGTTTCCTAACAATGTCTCTTCCCGTTTGATGCATCGTACAGCCTCACGCTCCACAGCCTCCTGTAAGACATGAAGCTCTCCTCTGGCCCTTTCAAGCTCGCATGACCTTTCCTTGAGTTGTTTAAGCAAGCACGCCTCTCTCCTACCAGAGCCTTCTTCTCCAGCAGCAGCAACAACACCAACGAGAATGACATCTTCGCCGTGACCAGGATTGCCACCACTGGGGTGCGTGCCTAAAATGCAGGACGTCTGCCGAGCGTTGCACAGACGGTGCAGGATGCCTGCTTGCAAGGGATCGGAATAAGTGAGCGGAGAACAAGTCGGTTCATTTTCAGCTGTCGTCTCTACAGCCACGCAATCCTCCTTCAGTACAGGAGCATTCCCCCACTGAATACCAACATTCTCCATTCCTGTCAGGAGTATAATAAGTGTTTTCATGGGCTTCGTCACCGTAAACGCAACATGGTACGTCACACACATTTTTTAAAATACCTTCATGCATCATTGCGAAATACCTGTTATGTCGGCACAATCTCGATGAAACCCCCTCAACAGACCGCCTACCTGTAGTATCACATAACCCAACTTTCACAAACTGTAGATGTTGTGTTTGCTGTAATCCACTCACAAGGAGCCTTGACACAACATATTTCTCTAGAGGAAACACTGAATCTTCCTTCTTATCCCTCAACGCTGTTTCATTAATTTGACTCTGCCGGCCAACGTGCAGACTGCCCAACAAAGAGATCATTACCTGCGATGGAGACCCCACAAATTTCAACCTCACCACCGTCTTGCAGCTTCAACAAAATAATAGACGAAGGAGGCGGCTGCGTCTGTGGGCCACCCCACTGATTCGCTAAAGGCGTTGCTTGAGGCTTATGCCCAGGACTCCTCCCGGCATCCATTTCCAACAGTATGCCTCCTTCTATTCTCAGCTGTACAGTGATGGAGGCGACATCTCCCAACGCCACGTTGTGCTCCCGAGAAGACGCCTCGTGCCCTCCTTCACTGAGAGCCGAGTTAAGAGGCATGACGCCACGCCCATGCAGCGTCATCCTCATCATTGCAAAATATGAGGCTTCATCTAAGTCCGATGCCTCTTCCCCCCTCAAACTGCTCGATAATGGCCGTCTACACAAGGATTCGCACGGTACGTGAACGCCGCCACATTCCGTCATTCCTTTCACGCGAAAGGAAAAAAGAAAAAAAACACACCAAAAGCAGTGCTCTCTCTCTCTCTCTCTCAAGAATATCATGAGACTTTAACAAATGAATCAAACACCCCAAGTATGAAGAATGCTGGGCCATCAGCACGCAATACGATTATTAGTGTGCCGTTTTTAATGGGAGGCCGTGTGTCATCCGCTTTCTCTGAGGCACACGCAAAACACACCGTCGACGCCGCTCCGTTTCTATAAACGCCGGATTCTCCTCTCCATCTTTAAGACTTGTCGGGTAACATATCGTCAACTCAAATATCCACAGACACATAAATCATCACATCCTTCTGCAGCAAGTGATGTTACAGAATGCCAAAGTGCATTGAAAACAAAAAAGACGCTAACAGACTCCACCAGTTCGCACTACAAGGACCCTTCTCCAACACCACGCATCCAAAAATACGTGTTCACCCACTGTGACCAGTTGCCGGCCAGGATCCACGCGCTGCTTCACAGCCTTACTATCATAGACGTGGTGGTGGTGTGTCTCCTATGCCAAATACAGGCCGTACATTCGTGTTGGGAAAATCAACTCAACCGTTTTCCCCATCTTTTACGTTCCTGGGATCGCAAAGCTTACACGTTGCTATCTAAGGAGGACCAACACACCCGTTACCTGCTCCCACACTGTGTTTAGTTGTAGAAGGCGGCTTCCACCATACCCTAATGTGAAGAATCATTGTTGTCGCTTTGCCTGTGTCCAGGCATGACGATTCCTGTAGAAAAGCCTTCCTTGGGGTGATATCAGGGTGAAACCGCAGCTTTACGCCAGAAAGTTCACCGAATTTCTCCCATAAAACAAAAAATAATAAGGTGATAGAAAAAAGGTCTATGCAGAGGGCAAGGCATGACAGATAGACAATTTGAGGTTTTCTGCCAACAACAAACAAACAAACGAAAAAAAGGCAGGTAAAGGTGCCTTCGATATCAGCCGTGTTCCCCGCTCCACCACCCAGATTAACACAAGTAGTCCAAAAAAAAAATCGATTTGAACGATGATAGATAGATATGGCTAAGCTGCTACACACCTTCCACCTTCCAATAAGTACCCACACAGACACAGACAACACCATATTTTCTTTCTTATGTGGTTGTACACATCTTTCTCATATATTACTCTCCAGAACGACGATCATCAAACAAAGAAAAAAAATGCATGCCATCGTGGAGAATTTACAACGGACGGTACAGTGGTGGTGATGATGATGGGTAACGAGACGCATTCATTATCGAATCGTAGCTGGGCGGTGCGTCTGCATTCGCAGGAGCTGTTGTTGGTGGAGAGACAGACGTGTTAAACGCCGCCGCCATTTCACGCTGCCGCCGCAAGATTTCTGCCATGCGTTCCTCGCGTTGTGGTTCCCACTGTTCTCGCTGTCGTTCGAGTGATTCAATCTGACTTCGGAGTTCATCCTGGCGCTGCCGCGACTCGTTAATGATGGCTGTGTTTTCTTGACTTTGCTGCATCTGCAAAATCTTTTGCGCAATTTGCTCATCAAGAGTCGCGCGTAGCCCCTCCGCCTCCAACTTACGGCAGACCACAAAGGACTTGGCGCTGGAGAGCGCAGACTCCAACCCGTCCAAGGTGGAGGAGGCGTACCGCATAATATCCCCAAACTCCTGACGAAGATCCGTGTAGACAGAGCAGGCGTTCTCTAAACCATTACACACCTTCTGCATCTCCGCCATCATGGGATCTGAGCTTTGAAGGACACCAAGGCTGTTCACAACCTGCTCCACCTCTGTCATGACTTGCTCTTCCTCCCGCATCGTTTCATTGGCGCGCTCAATCGCGTCACTGATTTTTTTGGACGCCCACTCCAAGATGGAATTTTGTTGACTAGCCTCCATCGATGAAAGCGCAAACGTCACATTGTCTGACTCAATGAGTTCATTTAATTCTCGCAGCCGAACTTCCTGTGTCGCCTCCACTTTTTGTTTACGCTGAGTCAAATGCTTAAGCACATCAACTTGTTCCAGGACCTTTGCACTCTGTTGACGGGACTCTTTTGTTTCCACAAACGGCATCAGCGCATCCAGGTCTTCCATTGACCAGTCCAGCCTCGCAAGATCGCGAAGGCTTCCCTCCAGCAACGTTTTGGCTCTCGTGAATGGGTCTAGGAACCACTGCCTAAGCCCCTTTTCATATTCCTGAAGTGCCGCCTCAATAGAAAGGCGGTCTGCAGCCTCATTTGACGGACGACGCGAGCTGTGCCACATCCGCTCTCCGTATGCAGCCACGTGGGCCTCATCTTCTTTGTGTTCCGCCTCCAGCTCTGCCTTCACTTGCTGTACTTTATCATTGATGGCAACCCAAAGTTCGTCGCAAGTTTTCACGGCAGACACCAAATCCTCCACAATACTTTTGGTCGCACCATTTTCACCCGCGTGGAGTGATTGAATTTTCTCACAGAGCGCCTTGGGAACTTGTCCACGGTTCTTGGACTCACCAGACAAAACCTCAATAATAGTTGTCACACCAAGCGCCTGCCATCGTTCATTTGCCTTTGTACGACTGGAGACACAAGACTTGTTACAAACTGAGACGAGATTACGTTCCTTCTCACGCCACTTGGAGACAATGAGAACAATATGTGCTGGAACAATACCAAAAAATGGATCCTCGCCACGCTTTGACTGAAAACTGGTAAAGCTGATGTGTTCAGTGGCCTTTCCAAGAGGACGCGGAAGACCTGTCGGGGCCTCTACCTCCTTCGGAACGCGCACAAAGTACACAGACTCGTTTGCCGCAATTGCCTTATCGTGTTCCTTGTTTACGTTGCTGATGATGCTGCTAATCCAACTACGGAGCTCCGCAGTGGGCAGTTTTTGAACCTGTGCCAGATAGCTCTTTGCCTTCTCAAAATGGGCAATGGCGATACCAACGTTTTCCGTGTCCTGCATCGAGGTGGCAAGGTGAAGGTGGGAACGTGCATAAAACACCATCCCTAGTGTTGAGAATAACTGCCCGGCAAGCGCCGCTGACACAGACCGGCTGCTCCGTTTACACCATGCACTTGCCTTTAATGAGCTTGCCACTTCTTCGTACTGCTTTCCGCCTTCCCGCGCAAATTTAGCCAAAATGGAATGATTACCCTTCATGTCATTTTCTGCTTTGAGGTACGCCGAGTGATGCGCCATCACAAGACACATACGACGAAGCAAACTCATCGACTCCAACGTTAAATCACCCTTGGCATGCTCTGGTGGAAGTCGGGTTAGAAGATGCTCCGCCATTTCATAGTACCCTGCAGCGTTCTGAAAAGCCTTAAAAGCACTCTTGACGTCCCCTGCCACCCCACTCTTTGCCTGCTGTGCCGCAACGTATGCCCAGGAGGCAGCGAGGTTATAAACGCAGCAAATCAATTCAAGATTACCATTCTTTGACTCATTCTTGTGGCTGTCATCAAAACTATCGCGCCAGACAAAGATCAGGTTCTTGTGCACCTGCCCTCCATGCAGTGGAAGGTGCGCCTGCGCCATTGCCACAAGTTGGCAGTACGGCTTTAGTGTCTGTTCAATGAACGTCTCCGTTGGTGGGACTTTGGCGTCAGCGCGGCAGGTTTGTACAATTATGTTGTGAAGGGCATGCATCCGCCTCAACGTCGCCTCAACGGCGCTTGTGTTGTTGCTGGAGTGATTCATACTAATGAATTTCAGACACAACTCCCACTCCGGCACATCCTCCTTTCCCTGTCGAAACGGTAGTGTGATGAATGGATCAGGCAAATGCTCAAGCGCAGCCATTTTTGTTTTATCTTCAATTTTTGTTGTCTTGTTTTTATGTATACCTGTGCGTGTGCGTGCTGCACTAACTGTATCTCCTTCCACTCTTACTTTATCTCGTTCTTGAGTTCTTCTTCCTACGTCGTTCACGTCCGCTAAATAATGGCTCCAGCCCGCTACAATCAAACGTGTCGTGTCCTGTGATGTCTTGGCACACGTTCACGTGTGTTAGCGACGAAGGGGAGGAGCCACACCGAGAGCTTCACTCAGCACTTCCATGGCAGCGTAAAGAGCACAAGGCCGTTTCGTTTGGAAAACAAACAAGGATGAAAGGTAAACAGCACAGTTACGACAGTACTGCGAGGAAAGGGACAATACTAGGTGTGGCAAGAGCATTAAAGAGCCACCGGCAAGAACGCAATAAAGTAGAAATAACATTGCATCTGTATCTTACATCGTTCCGGTGCTTGCGTACGTGTGTGTACCCGTACAGGCAAATATACATACCAACCACACCCCACGCACATGCACCACAATTTGCTCGCATGCATCTCTCTATCAATTGTGAAACCATTTTCATCCCTCTCCGTTTCGTTACGACGCGTCGTTGCCTTCCTCAACCCCATCTTCCTCCACCACGTCGTCCATCTCCATCCTCTCCGCCTCTGGCAGCGGCTGCTTCACCTTCTCAAGGAACTCCTCGTCACGGTGGCCGTCGTATGCGTAGAAGTTTTCCTCAAAGGCGTCTGTGGCCCATGGCGCCTTTTCCTCCGCAGCAGCTGCAATAGAAGAGGACTTTCCGAGCATCTTTGGGGCCGCGACACCGTAGCGATCCTTCTCTCGCTCGCGTTCCGACCAACGCCAGCTGTAGTAGTACACACGACGCACCTCCCGCTCTAACATTGCACGGAAGTGCCGCTGCTCCCCACTCAGGCCACGTGACAGAACTTTCGGCAGGGCGTACCAGTGAAATGAGCCGACGCTTGTACCAATAGCAGCGTATTGCACATAGTGTGGAGGCAGTACCGGTGGCACTGGTTTAAAGTTAATGACTGTAATGGCATCCTGCACAAGTTGATGCACAACCAGCGGCTCTCGATTTCGATCTAGCAGGTCCCACACAAGAATCTTTCCATCCACTGTGCCTACCACCACAACAGCCACCCGCAACGGTGCCCAACAGGCACATGTGATAGGAGCATCATGCCGCGAGGAAATAAAAATGGGACGATCCAATCCCACACGCCAAAGTTTAAAGTGGAGATCACCGCATGACAAATAAACATCACTGATAAGAGGATGCCGTTGAATGCTGTAGACGGGCCCAGCATGCGCCTTAGTCAGGAGGCGTACAACACGGGTTTCGTCCGCGTGAGGTGAGAGTTCTTGCCGTTCATTCGGTGTGAGTGTGCTACACATCACAACTTCCCCAAGTGTCGTGCCGCATACGGCGACGTACGACGGTACCTGATGGGGGCCAAGGCCGTCTACGTAAAAACGGAATCCCATCAGCTCACTACCACCACCGGGTCTTGACATTTGATAGCGCAACAGCGGTACCCATGGAAACTCTTCACCACCCACCCGGCCTTGGTGTTTCATCTTGCGAAGCTTATCAGGGGGGAGATGATCAGGGCGAATGTCCCACACACACATGTACCCATCATCGCTTAGCGAAAAAAACTGGCGTCCTTCTTGTGTCACAGTTTGTTTCCCGTCAAACCCACACTCCAAACCATTAGGCATCCATTGAAGAGCGTGCACGGGACGCCTATGCGACAGCTCCACCCGAGAACTTTGCACCGGCTGTAGGCGAGGCACAAGAACATCCCCATCCCGCTCCGTACTAACTCCCTTCACACTCAACGCCATCGGAGGGATGTCCTTCGTCCCAGGTTCCGACCGAATCACTACATTTTGATCTTCCACACGCTCTATCCCCGCCTTTATGTTGGAAACCGTGGCTGTGTCCATACGATTAAGATCCCAGAGAAACAGCTGCCCATTCATTGCACCGCCTGCAATATAGTTTGGCTTTAACGGATTGAACCTAAGGACCTGTATTTCCACTGGAGCCTCCAAGAAGGCCCGTGGATGCATGGGATCCGCAAAATCCCAGACGAGGTTAATGGCTGTTTCACATCGTTTTTCAGCCTCGATACGTTCCTCGTAGGTGCACCTCGAAACCGAGGCCATGCAAACAAAGTCATCCTTGGGGCGACAACTTCGCCAGCTGATGGAAGAAACGCAAAGATCCTTCATGGTTGTGTGGGTGTAGTTACCTTTTTCAATTAGGACAGTATCGTCGCGGGAACCCACAATCGCATCATCCTCCGTAAACAGGACAAATTCATCTTGATAGATAGCCACCTCATAGTTTTGCAGCAGACAGTGTAAGGTACGGGGAAGCACCTTATTAAAAAAAGCCGTCATCTCCGGATCCTCGGTTCTTGGAACCGTTATGTTATTAATGCACGCATCAACAAGGGCGGGTTGCACTTGAATGGCGGCGTCAACCTTTCGGGAAAAGGGCGTCTGTGTCATCTTGTCCACAATTGGTAAAACCGCCTGGACCCCGGTGTCCACTTCATTCCTCGCCACCTCATACATGGTGCTCGTTGTGCCGCGTTGGTCACGACTATCTTCACTGGCCTCCTTCGTCAGGTAACTCGTGTGCACCATTCGTTGGTGGAGAAGCACGTCACGACGCACCTCAAACGATACCCGCACCTGTGGCCGCTTCTTCACGTTGTAGCCGTTTTCCTCGGAAATCTCGTTTTCACTACCAAAGCTTTCCCACGTTCCCTTTGGAACGATCGTCTTGAGCTTCCCCGCCAGGCTTAGCAGCTCATCGGTTATCCAATCCGAGGCGCAGCCGCAACTTGAGCGCTTTTCCTGCCGTCCTGCGGTCAATCCAGTAAATTGGCCCAACCCACCTTCTAGCTGCGGTGCTCCACTCGCCGCCCCAGAACGCCCAAGAATGGAGGAGTCGGCAGCTACATCTGCATCTGCACCGGCTGTTTCGAGCGGCATATTCACTTATCCCCCCTCCCCCACGTAGTTTCTGTTTCTCGTGTCGGCGGGTGAAGCAAACAAACAACAGTTGCAGCGCTTCGAGGTATGTACGTCTCACTCCCTTGCTGTGTGCGTCTCTCAAGCACCGATTCAATCCTTTTCTGCTCAGACCCTTATTGCGCACGGTATTGATGCATACATACATCACAAGCAAAACAAAAAAAAAAAGGTAGCACACAGGGGTCCCATCACGCTACAACCGTTATTCCACTTGCAAATGTATACTTATGCATGTATGCATGTGAAACTTCACGGAAGTATTCATATCACATACCCAGAGAAATGCCGGAGTTATATATATGTATATATATATATACTCCGCTGATGTTATTCCCACTTTGCCCCCACACATGACGTTCAGGGAAGCAGAAGAAGCATCCACGTTGGTAGAAGGTGCGAAGAAACAAGACACGCACAAAAAGAGAGCAGTAAGGAGGGAACGGGGTGGGGATACTAATGCAGCAAAGTCGTGCGTGTATGCTGCGTGGCTGGAGTGAACCAAACCAAAACGAGGCGATCAAGAAAGCGCAATACCCAAAAGAACAAAGTGGCGCACGGAAGTCAATCAACAGCACGGGTACTCGCACCAAAAGGGGACAACCGAGCAATTCATTTCCTTGATCCACGCATCACATTTGTCCTTCCCTCCCCTCGCTAGATTTGTCTTCCCCAGTTTTTTTCGGCATACCCGTTTCTTTTTCTTTTAAGCTCACCGCCCGCCTGGTGGTCTGCCCGCGTTTCCGCTTCCTCCTCCTCCGTTCCTCCAGGCTGACGTTCCCTCACGCTTCTCCGCTGCACTCAGCCTCATATTCACGGGCTCCATGGCACAAACCAAAAACAAAAAACAAAAGAAAAAACAACAGCAGCGGCCAAAAAAAAAAAAAACGAAACAAAACTGAAGAAAAAAAACCGGTTCTTGCATGTGCCGTTGCAGCAACAACATCGGCGACACACACACACACACACCAACAACCAAAAACACACCTGCAACAGCAGTGATAGGAGACAGACGAAACACACGCACAGCAGATGGTCATCTCTTTAAAAAAATAAATCCACAATGGGGAGCCGGAACTGAGGGGTGTGTCCGGCGCGGCGTCTGAAAAAACAAGAGAAATGAAAAAATATGCCGTGTCCCCCCCCCCCCCACGCAAATAAAGTGGAGGCTTCGCTTCAGTCCATCACTCTCCTCGCCCCATTTACGCAGACGAGAGCATACACATAGAAGAGCCATACCGGAATAAAAAAAAGGCAACAGCAAATCACTATCACCCCTTTATCCGTGGCTGTGGGCACATAGTATCTCCGCCGTCACCCACTTCCCTTCTTGCGCTTAATGTACGTTTTTCCCCCCTTTTCGTCCTATTGCGTTTCTTCCTTGTGGCAACATAAGCATACGTGCATGTGCGTTAGAGTATGTCTCTGCATGTATTGTGTGTGTGTTGTGTGTGTGTGTTACTGCAGTTATTTCCCTCTTCTTTTTCTTTTCGTCCCGACCATCCCTTTCATTGCTGCCTGGTTTTTCTCTCTTTTCCAACACCCCTGATCTCCTCCTCTTGCCTCTTTCTTTCCTTGAGATGTTATAGGCCGCTCACCCCATCCTTGCAATTCCCTACAACAAACCCTATTCATTCCTTCATTCAGTATATCCCTGCTTCTTCCTCTTGTTGTCGTTGTTCCCCTCAATCAACCCCCTACGACTTCCCGGTGCTGTGAGGAGTGAAGATTATCTTCACCGACGGCGGCAGGCCGGCCTCCTTCACTAGTTTCTTCTCGATCCTGGCAACCGCCTCGTTGGCGGAGGCGTCACGCAGCCAAAGGGCAATGCGGTTTTGATACTTGCGCTTGGACAAGACCAACCCCATGATGTGCTCCCCCTCCGGCTCCGGGTCAAGGTACTCCCCCACCAAAGCCATAAGCAAATTCTCCCACATTGTGTCGAACTCAGGCTTCTTTTCTGCCTCATGCTCGTCCTTCTTGGCCTTGGCACCGTGATTACTACTGCTATTGGTGTTACCGGCATTTGTGCCGTCCTTCTCTCCACCTGCAGTAGCACCCGTGGTGGCACTTTCCCACTTCTTTCCGGCATCTCCAACTTTCTTGTCATCCAGGCCAAACCACAGTTTCCCGCCGTCTTTGTTCCTCGGATCCTCCCACATCGGCTTCACACCCTCACGGAAGAAGTGGTATTGGGCCGAAAGACGAAGCACATGCGGCGGCTTGCAGTAGTGCAACATCACAAAAAACTCCTCCACGGTATGCACCGTCATCACCTCCACCAAGGACAGTTCCCACCGCTCACTGTCGTACGTGGAAATAGAGTCATACCACAAGGTCCACGGCGAGTGCAGCGGATGCTTCATCAGCGCTGGGTCCAAACTGCGTGGCACAGCCAACTTTGTCTCCGCGCCATCCGCAACAGTAGCACTGTTGGCAGCAGGAGCAGCAGCAGGGTCTGCCCTCGCTCCCCTTAACTTCTCGTCTGACATCAAATGAGTTCTACCGAGCACAGAACAAGCAGCAAAACTTTACACGAGAAGGCAACTCACAAGAAAAACAAACAACCAAAAAACACAATAACACCCAAAAGAACCATCCACGCCCCACGCTCCCCGCCACACAGAGCCTACATACTTGCAAAAAAACAAAAATAAAAAAAATGGAGGGTGCACCCAACTTCCGAAACATAAAAAATAACTCCTTTGCAAAAGTAAACCTATAATGGCCCATTCAAACAAAAGAAAGTTATTAAATACACCTTATACCCCTTTCTCATTGCATCCGGGGGATTTGACCCATCAAGAGCCTTAGTGAGAAAAGCCTTTATCTAAACACTTTGCTCAAACGTCGTGGGGGCATGATGTGTGAGCATCGATTGAGAAAGGAAAATGAAATGCACAAACTGCGTGTTACCGGCCGCAACTCCTCTGCAATTATGACTGCAGGACAATGGCACCCGGGTTGCAGAAAGTTATTATATCCTCATTTATGCCCCTGTTGCATTGGCTCCCCCGTTTTTTCCCCTTCTTTTGCCTTGTCTATAGGAACTCCTCTTGCATCAGTGTTTGATGAAGCCTTCCACGCAAGTAAGCGGGATATACCTTCTTGTGTCGTACCATATACCTGACGGGCACCCGCTACGACGACGCGGATGCATATTTCTGCCGCTCCTCTCACAACAGCTCCCCAACACGAATGCGATGCCAGGACTCCATTTCACCTTGACAGATGCATTCACTCCGTCGTGCGGGTTTAGGCAGGACCTAATCCTATGCGTGCGGTAGCCAAGTGTGTGTGTTTTACCTCACTCGGGTTTCTTCTTCCTTTTCTATTCCTTACACCCACCCTCCTCTAGACCTGACTGCGGCGGAAGCAACGTTTGACGCACCCCTAAGCTTTCCATCTCCCTTCATTTTTTAAATTGCCCCTCTCTGTGTCTCAGCACGTATCCAAGAAACATGAAGGAGAAAAGATCCACCGTGACACAGATTAATTTTAAG